TAAAACTGTACATTTTAGAGTGGCCTTTTATTGTGGCCAGTCTAAGGCACACCTGTGCAATAATCATGTTGTCTAATCAGCATCTTGATATGCCTCACCTGTGAGGTGGATGGATTATCTTGGCAAAGGAGAAGTGCTCACTAACACAGATTTAGACAGATTTGTGAACAATATTTGAGAGAAATAGGCCTTTTGTGTACATAGAAAAAGTCTTAGATCTTTGAGTTCAGCTCATGAAAAATGGGGGCAAAAACAAAAGTGTTGCGTTTATAATTTTGTTCAGTGTATATTTATAATAATTATAATAATTGTACACAAAATTTTTCCTAGCCCAAATTACCTTGTGTGTTTTGGCCCACTGCTCACATGAGCACATTTGTGCTGAAATTGAACAACAATAATCGATTAGCTTAATACTATATCATCACATAATCATTAACTCCTCTAATTGAGGTACTTTTGGTTTATTCACTGCCAAAAACAGTTATGAGATTATTTTATGGCACATATAACTGAAAGTTTAAATGGTCTGAGTGACTTTCAGTGTCTTGTGTGAATGTGAGCCATGTAATAAACACATAGGTGTGGATTTCTAGTCCTCTTTGAACTGCTCAGACTCGTATATTGTAAATATTGTATGTTACATACTGACATTCATTGTACAACGCTGCCTGGCTGTTGCGACATGACGAGCCAACAGGGGTTTTCCAGTAGTAATATAAGTTCGCCATGAGTATCGTTTGTAAGCATTTGCTCCTAAGCTGTGTAACTAAATCTATAGGTTTCCATGTTCGTAAAAGTTGTTGTTTGTGGGGTTCCAAGGCAACCTCTCTTGCCGTTTAGTAACACGTCTACTCTCATTCCAATGCCAGGAGTGAACGTCTAGAACATTTGTAGTCAGAAAGTTTTTGATTATTAAATAAAAACGTCAAAATTTTTTCCCTATGAAGCATCATGCCCATCTAAATATCAGCACCAGATGATCTGACCGAGTGTAATATAACACAGCGGTCTGGGATACTGGGACCATTTGGCTTTTGATGTGTCATTCTTTCCTTTTCATTTTATTCTTAAATGCCAATGCGTGACATGAAGCAACGTTTGGTATATATACATATACTTTTCATTTATTGAATGAGATACCTGTGGCCACGTGGTTACATCACAGCGAGGACTGTGCGGACGAGGTCTTTCCTAAAGTCTCAGGGTGACTGGCTGTTACATAACCCGGTAGATGTATTTGTGAAGATGTCCAGCCGAGGAAATGAGATCTTGCCACGAAACTCAGGCCAGAAAACAGAGCAAAACATGGAACAGCCATTCAGACACACCTACTCTATCTTTATTATGACTGTTTTTCACATTCAAGAATCATAGTAAAGTCATCAAAAGTATGAAATAACACAAACTGAAGTATGATGTAGTGACCAAAACACGTTCAACCGATCAAAACAAATTTCCAAGTTGTCTAGACTCCAGCTCTGCTCATGCTGCGTATTCATAGGATGCTTTTTAAACACTACTGAATTGTAAATTTTCATTAGATAAAACAATAAAACACTGGATGGATGGGTGGATGAAAGAACAATAGTTGGATAGAACAAAAGAAGAATGGATGGATGGTAGAATGATAGATGGATAGAACGATGGATGGATGGATGGATGGATGGATGGATGGATAAACCAATAAAAGGATGGATGGATAAACCAATAGAAGGATGGATGGATGGATAAACCGATGGATGGATGGTAGAATGGTAAATGGATAGAACAATAGATGAATAGAAGAATGATGGATTGATGGATGATAGATGGATAAACCATATGACTGTTTTTCACATTCAAGAATCATAGTAAAGTCATCAAAAGTATGAAATAACACAAACTGAAGTATGATGTAGTGACCAAAACACGTTCAACCGATCAAAACAAATTTCCAAGTTGTCTAGACTCCAGCTCTGCTCATGGTATGTATTCATAGGATGCTTTTTAAACACTACTGAATTGTAAATTTTCATTAGATAAAACAATAAAACACTGGATGGATGGGTGGATGAAAGAACAATAGTTGGATAGAACAAAAGAAGAATAGAACAAAAGAAGAATGGATGGATGATAGAATGATAGATGGATAGAACGATGGATGGATGGATGGATAAACCAATAAAAGGATGGATGGATAAACCAATAGAGGGATGGATGGATGGATAAACCGATGGATGGATGGTAGAATGGTAAATGGATAGAACAATAGATGAATAGAAGAATGATGGATTGATGGATGATAGATGGATAAACCAATATAAGGACGGATGGATGGATGGATGGATGGATGATAGATTGTTAAACCAATAGAAGTATGGATGAATAGATGGATGGATGGATGGATGATAGATGGATAAACCAATAGAAGGATGGATGAATGGATGGATGATAGAATGATAGATAGATCATTAGAAGGATGGATGGATGATAGAATGATAGATAGATCATTAGAAGGATGGATGGATGATAGAATGGTAGATGGATAGAACAATAGAAGAATGAATGGATGGATGAATGGATTGATGGATGATAGAATGATAGATGGACAGAACAATAGAACGATGGATGGATATATGGATGGATGATAGAACAATAGAAGGATGAATGGATTGATGGATGATAGAATGATAGATGGACAGAACAATAGAACGATGGATGGATATATGGATGGATGATAGAACAATAGAAGGATGAATGGATTGATGGATGATAGAATGATAGATGGACAGAACAATAGAACGATGGATGGATATATGGATGGATGATAGAACAATAGAAGGATGAATGGATTGATGGATGATAGAATGATAGATGGACAGAACAATAGAACGATGGATGGATATATGGATGGATGATAGAACAATAGAAGGATGAATGGATTGATGAATGATAGATGGAAAGAACAGTA